AATTGATACGGTTTTCTCAAGCAGGTAAGAGTAACTCGGGAATGAGTCCCCCTAGCTCCTTAGTTAGGTTTCAATTGTATTTCCCTGGGTTGATTTACTGTTGATTAGACTGCGGAAGATCCGACAGTAGCTTGGAATCTCTTAAGCTGACCAAGCCCTCTCAGTCTATCTACCCGGCAGACGGCTAGTCTTCACAGGGATAGAAAGCTGAAGCAGTAAGAACAGAACTCCACTACTGGAATTAGATTCCAGTACAAAGCAGTACACTGGATAACTCTCGTATAGCCAATCTCCTACTACCGAATGATGAGGCTCTAGCAACCTAATCAGATTCTATCTATCTCAGATTGCAGCAGGAATCAGGAAAAGTTGATCAGACTTCAATTGACTCAATAAACATGCATCATTCGATTAAAATCAAACAGTAATATCATCCCAAGTCATTACAATCAATCCCTAACACATACAACTAGGGTTCTTCATCTCCAAGTGAGAGAGGGGTTCTACTCCATAGAGAGAGAGAGAGAGGAAAACAAGATACAAAGCAGTCATACTCATAATTATGGGAAGAATCTGCTCTGGGATGATGATTTCCACTCCTATGACGATCTCCAAGCTTGAATTGATGAAACCCAGCTCCAAGATAGCTTCTAGGATGTGTTCTTCCTCCTTTCTCTCTCTAGGGCTCTGTTTTTTTGCTCAAAATTCCGATTCTCTCTCTTGCAGCCAAAAATTGGGTTAAAACCAGGAATTCCCGACTCACACGGGCTGGGCCACACGGCCGTGTGGCATACCCAGTTGCCCGTGTGAGTCAAAACGCTGCGTTCCAATTAGTTCGATCTTCAGGCTTCCCACACGGCCAGGGTCGCACGGCCGTGTGTGATTTCCATCCTGCCCGTGTTTGCTCTCGCACAATCTCACACGGCCAGACCACTCCTTCACACGGCCGTGCAGATATCAGGGCAAGCCGTGTTTGCTCTCGCACAATCTCACACGGCCAAAGTGGTCACTGCACGACCGTGTGAGTTGTGGGTGTGCCCGTGTGGCCTCCTTTGTGACTTGCCTCGCGCCCGATCTTCGTCCAATCGACCCCAAACTCGCTCCCAAGCCTCCATTCACGTACTAGGACCTGAAATATCACAAACAAGCACAACCTAGCGTGAAATCGGCCTAAACACGAGAAATCACATCTCAAACGGTTTAAGAACAGGGGTAAAAACATGTGTAATTAACTGTCTATCAGGTATTCTACTGTAAATATTAACTTACAAACCAAAAATCACTAATGCAGGTTGAGAGAGCACTAAATCTGGTGAAAACATCGATGAAAACTATGTTGCAATCAATCAAGATGCAATACAAATCTCAAATTGATGAGCTTGTCAAACATAAGGAAATGTTGGAGCAACAAACTTCTGATGACAACTTTGATGGTGTGGAAGGAGAAAGATCTAATGACGTGATCGTCGAACAAAATGAAGGAACTGAATGTTGTGATGAAGATAAAGAAGCAGACACGAACCTGAAAGAAACTATGAAGAAAATTTTTGACCAGGCAAAATCAAGCAAAAGGAAAGCAACCACAGCCAATGAATCTGAAGAAAATGATGATTCTCAACAACAGTGGATCTAGCTGCACCAACGCAATGGAAGAAAAAGAAGAATCAAGATGGTTCTTCACCAAAACCAGAAGTTCAACATCAAACAGAAGCACCAACAACAGAGAATCATGCTGAAACTGCTGAGAAGAACCAAGGAAATTCAGTTCTAGAGAATGTAAATCAGGAGGCCAACAAAAAAAGGAGATGAAAGAAAGGGAAATGAAATGCATCAAGATCATGAAGGAGATAACAGTGAAAAGACACAATCAGATGTGATTGTTTCAAAGAAGGGAGAACATGTGAAGAAGCTATACAACCACCACCAAAGACTGCAGGAAACCCCAAAGATGCAAAGGACAGTGACATACCATCTTTTGACATCAGTCCATGATACGTCAAAAGCGTATAACTTCAATTCCTATCTTGTAGTAAACCGGAAAGTCCGGGTATCGTCTCTCAGGGACTGGTACAACCTTAAGTTCTATCAATTTTATTGAGCAAACTATATGTGAAAATGTTTAATGAGATGAAACTATGATCTAAAAGCAAAATAAAATAAACAAATTAACTAAATGAAAACTGTCGGGAGAAATTCAATGAGAGAAAGCTCTGGGAGAAACACCGGGATTCGCTACCTATCCTATCCAGATTAATTCACATACTCCAATTAGTTTAATCCATATCTCTACAGCCAGGATATCACGAAAGTGCTAGCTATCCCTGTCGGGAATTACTACGTACTAAACAATTAATTCAAATCCTACTGTCGTAGCTCAATGACTTAATTATTTAGCCTGAAGATCGATATCCTATTTAAGACCGCATAGCACCTTATTTAATCCACTGTCGCTTCGATAAGTTACTATGTCACATGAAATAGGTTCAGTCATTAGGGTTTCACTGTCGCTAATAACCTAATTAACAACAAATCAATGTATTGGTGGCCAGTCAACACAAAGCATTAAGAAATTTCATGCAATAGAGATTGGAAGAAAAGAATCATAAATCAATCCATCAAATCAAGAAATAGCTACATCCTATGGTGTTTCCCCCAGAAATTGGGGTTTAGTTCATGACGAAATTAAGATAAAACGATAGGATTTTGTTCATCATGTTCTAAATCAACAAGAAACAACTAATTAGGTTTAGAAAATCCAACCAACTAATCGCTCTCGTTGAACTCAGCTCAAGCCTTGAACAGCTCGATCGCCAATCTCAATCGCACTGCTCCTGCTGCTGCTGCTCCGCTTTTCCCTTCCAAAGAGTTCTCGCCCCAATTGCCTCCCCGCTGCGCCTACTTTTTCTATTCTCCGCCGCCAAGAGAATTCCTCCCCAGTCCGGCTACTGCGCCTGCTGCCTTCCCCTCTCCTTTCCCGTGTCCAACTAATTCCAAAACCAAAGTCCCAAATTGCCTCTTCCGTCCAAAATAAATCCCCCAAGCCAAAAACGTGTCCAATTAATTCCACCAAATATGTCAAAGTAATGATGGCCTGTCCAACTAAATGGACCATGTCCACTTAATTTCTCTTCCTGACCCAATGGCGTCTCCTCCCCGAGACAAAGTAATTTGGGCCCCAAATATAGTTGCCAAGAGACTTCCCTAGGTTTTCGTGTCCAAGCTTGTGCTGCCCCAGATAATTGCCCTCACTAATCAATTCCTCCTTCCCAAGCCTTCCGCCCAAAAAGAATTCCCTTTCCTCCAAGTATCTGTCCGTCCAAAAATAGTCCACCCCTCTCGATTAATTGCCTGCCGCCCACTTAGAAGATCCCCAAGTTTAATTACAAGTCCCCGGCCCAAAAGAATTTGGTTCCATCCCCTGGTCCAAGTCTCATGGCCCAAATCAATTGGTCGTGCACTCTCTTCTTTCGTGCTTTCTCCACCTGTAATATATCAAACTCATGGCACTAAGCAGTAATGGTTTTTCAACCATTCTCGGGTTAGGGAGCCCTAATATAGCACCAATCGACTTAAACATACCATGAGATAGTCACATAAAGCTCAAGAATCAGATATATTAAAGCCGATTATCACAACCCCACACTCAATTGTTGCTTGTCCCCAAGCAACGACTCAAACAACACAAATACATAACCGACCATAACAATGACACACCACAGACTCACTAATCAAACACTCAAACAAAACAAAATTTTCCTTGTACTCTTGTTGTAATCAGTAGTTTCTTTCTCAACGGACAAGTTGTGCTCTAATGGTCACACCTTTCACCCCACACTCAAGGTCTTTGCAACATTTACCATTGACTGACTCAAATCCATCAAAAACTCAAATAGCAACACTCAATTTTGATCGTCGGTAGTGGGTGATTAATAACTTATGGTGCAACAATTATTAGGATAATCTAACCACATCAGTGAGGTGCATATCTCGTGAGGACAATCTGGCTTACTCACACCAATCATAAGCAATTAATTAAGCATGAGTCTCAAAAACTAATGGGGGAAGCCTTTCGCAAACATGATTTTAACTTTAAGCACATCACTACCTTTTATGACAAGGAGAGGCTTTCTCTCTTTCTGTTTTTGCTTGCCTAGAAGTCGTATTTAGTACAAGTGGGATTTGTTTCTTACTACCGGTGACCGAGCAAGAGCAATTTCTGCTTCTTAGCACTCGCATAAGGGCTTCTTTCAACTCCTTTTCCTCGGTCCGTGTGGAGGGTCATTGTTCATCCTCTAATGGCACTTCACTCAACTGGGGATCGTACTTGATAAGCAACATCGTACGGTCGCGAACCGATTCTCAATTGAATCTTTCCTAATCCCCATGTGCAATGAGTGATTGCCTCACACGATTTTGGCATTTTTACCCACACTTTAATTGTTATGGCAACTTTCTTATATTTTACTTGTCAGGTAGTGTTTTCTTTTATGAAGATACAGTTCACCCCATCATAAAACCATCAAAACAGAGAGACTCGTTGTAAAATCAAAAGCTCACAATTGATGCAAGTAAGCACGGTATCCAAACATGTCGAATGGTCAATGTTCTCCACCTAACTACTTCATCACAAGTCATTACACTATCCTCACAAAAGAGAATGTTGCTAAACGAGTTTGCTCATTCAAAGCATACCAAGTCAGTCAAAATATCAAGCTCATTGTGAAGAACTATGCAATTCAACACTAGTGGGGTGATTTTGATGATTTCATTCAAGCACAAACTCATTTCACACGCATCACACTCATTTACATCATGTTACCACAAGAGTACAAGGTTTTGTTTTTAATTTTTTTGATTTTTAGGTGTTTTTTAGCCATTAGCTTTGCACAGGCAGACTGCTTTTTACACAGGCAGACTGCTTTTTACACAGGCAAACTGCATGCAGTTTGGCTGTGCTCAACCTAATGGCAATTTTTTTTGTTTTTTTTTGTTTTTTGTTTTTGAATTTTTTGTTTTTTTTACCGACCACATGACAAAAGGAACAAACAAATTTTTTTTTTTTTTGGATTTTTTTTTTACCACATGCAACATGGACAAACAACACTAAGACTCACCACCCCACACTCAGGATGGAACATTGTCTCTAATGTTCAACTCCTAATCTAAACATGCACGGGTTTGACACAACTAAAAAGAAAATTAAACAAAAGAAAAGAAAACTTACCTTGGGTTGCCTCCCAAGAAGCGCTTGTTTAACGTCCTCAGCCTGACGTTCATGGAGCTTTCAACCAATGGGTATGGAAAGGTATCCAGCATACCCTCCCGAGCAATGATAGAATGCATAACCTCCATCCAGCATATGAGTCACCTCTGCAGGGCCAGGTGTGCGAAAATTGGGTATGACCTTCTTAGCTGGCATGTTAGACCATTTAGTGAGGCGTAGGTGGTACTGCAGCGCCTCAAGCAGGTACTCTTCCTGTTTCAATGTCAGTGAAGAAGGAATAATAACAGGAAGATTGAAATCCTTACCCAAATATCTATACTTGAGGTGACCTGGTAAGGATTTCTGTCCTTGCTTTGATTTCAGAATCTGAGCTGATAGGACAAGTGATTCTTCAACTGATCCACTATCACAGGAAGAGGAATTTTTCCTTTCTCGAGCTCCACTTTCAAGGTCATCAATTGCATCGTGATTATGATCAACTTGGAAGACATTAAAAATTTCCTCCTCCTTACCTACTCGGAATGTCAACTTGCCTCTCCCAACATCGATGAGTGCATCACCAGTTGCTAGAAAAGGTCTGCCGAGAATTAGAGGCACTCCCTGATCTTCTTCCATCTCCAGAATCACAAAATCTGTAGGGAGAATAAACTTCCCCACCTTCACCAATACATTCTCCACCACTCCCTTTGGGATTTTTACTGATCGATCAGCCAATTGGAGTGTGATCCGAGTAGGTTTAAGAACATCTCCCAATCCCAATTTCTTGTAGACTGAGTATGGCATCAAATTAATTCCTGCTCCAAGATCACAAATTGATTTATCGAACTCTCTACCTCCAATAACACATGGAATGGTGAAACTGCCCGGATCATCCCTCTTCTTTGGTAATTTATTCTGAATCACAGCACTACATTCAGAAGTAAGGGTTACCTTCTCCAGATCAGCCCATTTGCGCTTCTTAGTCAGCAACTCCTTTAAAAATTTAGCATATGTAGGCATCTGTTCAAGTGCCTCCGCCAAGGGTATGTTAATCTGAAGTTGCTTGAAGATATTCACAAATTTCTTGAAGTTTGGGTCTTCCATGGGCTTCATTAACCTTTGAGGGAATGGTGCGGGAGGTTCATAAGGCTTTACCTCTTCATTCTTCAATTTTTCCACTTTTTGAGGTACACGGGCAGCATGCTTTTGCACAGGCAAACCGCTTTCATTTTGCCTGTGCAAGGCTGATTCTTCATTTTCTGCACAAGATCTTTCTCCCGGTGCTTCCTCTTCCGCCTCTGGTGCCTTTTTCAAGCTGCTAGGGTCTTCCAAGGCCTTTCCACTCCTCAATGTCACTGCTACAACCATGGCATCCTTCGGATTCCTCTCAGTATTTGCTGGTAATGTCCCAGGAATCCTGCCTTGCATATCTGCCAAAGTTTGAGCCATCTGGCCTATTTGCCTCTCCATAGCTAGCATAGATGATTGCATATTATTGTTGATGGCTAGCTGTTGAGTGACAAATTGATCAAGACCCTTCATATTATTGTCGGTTTTCTGCATGTGAGCCAGAAGCAATTCTTCAAGTTGTGGTTTCTTCTCTGGTTGAGGTTGTTGTTTCTGCAGGCCTGGAGGAGAAATGTTGCGAGCACCAGCTGGGTTGTTGTTTGCCCAGGAAAAGTTAGGATGCTTCCTCCATTGCGGGTTGTAGGTATTTGAATACATACCACCCTGGCCTTGATTTTGCTGATTGTTGATATAGTGCACATCTTCCAACTGATCAGCTACCAGTGGACATAAATCCCTATGATGAGCACCTTCACATAATTCGCAATATGCAACCTCCTCCTGTCTACCAAGAGCCATCTTAGCCAGCCTTCGTTCGAGTGCATCGAACTTGGAATCCAGCTTAGCATCAATCTTTGCTTCTAAGCTTGCAACTCTGTCTATCTCATGCAAGCCTCCTCTCCTTCGAATGCAGGTCTCACTACCCCATTCAGTATCTTCAGAGCATATCTTCTCCACCAGTTCATATGCTTCTGGTGCTTCCATTCTTGTGAAACCATTTCGGGAAGCATTATTCAGAGCATCTCGAAATTGTCTTCTGATTCCGTTGAAGAAAATGGAGATCACATTCCAATCTTCAAGACCGTGGCTCGGGCATCTCATTAGAAGCTCCTTATAGCGCTCCCATGCCTCACTCAGACTCTCATCATCAGCCTGCTTAAAAGTAACAATCTCTTCTTGCCTCTTCATTGCCAAGGCAGGTGGGAAGTATTTATCCAGAAATACCTTCTCAAGCTGACCCCATGTCGTGATGGAACGGGGTGTTAAGTTTTGGAACCAGTGTGATGCATTCCCTAGCAGAGAAAATGAAAACATCCGAAGACGGATTGCATCATCAGATACTGTGGGGCTCTTCATTGTATCACATATACTCGCGAACCGGCGGAGATGCTCGTGAGGATCCTCATTGCTAGCCCCAGAGAAAGTATACCCATTGGTGATCATGTTGATAAATGCTGGGGTAATCTCCATGGTTGCATCCCCAGCCGGAATGAAAACACATGAAGCCCGGGCTACAGTCCGTCGATTTAAACGAGCCCTGATCGAACGATCCTCGTCTGCCATGATGACTGGCTCAATGTCACGAGGTGGTGGTGGTGGTGTAGGGACGACTGGTGATGAAGCCTGCCCTCTCTGGGTTATGGAAGGCCTAGCAGTTGTGGTTGGCTGCTTCCCTAACTTGACCTGCTTCCTATTCAGTCGACAGGTCTTCTCGATCTCCGGGTCTAGTGGCAATAAATCCCTGGTTGTCCTCCTAGGCATGCACAAAAAGGATTAACCTGAAATTCACCTGCACACTAGCACACAGATCAAAATAGTTCACTCACAAAAATCAACAAAAAATAAGGTATGGCAGTCCCCGGCAACGGCGCCAAAAACTTGATACGTCAAAAGCGTATAGCTTCAATTCCTATCTTGTAGTAAACCGGAAAGTCCGGGTATCGTCTCTCAGGGACTGGTACAACCTTAAGTTCTATCAATTTTATTGAGCAAACTATATGTGAAAATTTTTAATGAGATGAAACTATGATCTAAAAGCAAAATAAAATAAACAAATTAACTAAATGAAAACTGTCGGGAGAAATTCAATGAGAGAAAGCTCTGGGAGAAACACCGGGATTCGCTACCTATCCTATCCAGATTAATTCACATACTCCAATTAGTTTAATCCATATCTCTACAGCCAGGATATCACGAAAGTGCTAGCTATCCCTGTCGGGAATTACTACGTACTAAACAATTAATTCAAATCCTACTGTCGTAGCTCAATGACTTAATTATTTAGCCTGAAGATCGATATCCTATTTAAGACCGCATAGCACCTTATTTAATCCACTGTCGCTTCGATAAGTTACTATGTCACATGAAATAGGTTCAGTCATTAGGGTTTCACTGTCGCTAATAACCTAATTAACAACAAATCAATGTATTGGTGGCCAGTCAACACAAAGCATTAAGAAATTTCATGCAATAGAGATTGGAAGAAAAGAATCATAAATCAATCCATCAAATCAAGAAATAGCTACATCCTATGGTGTTTCCCCCAGAAATTGGGGTTTAGTTCATGACGAAATTAAGATAAAACGATAGGATTTTGTTCATCATGTTCTAAATCAACAAGAAACAACTAATTAGGTTTAGAAAATCCAACCAACTAATCGCTCTCGTTGAACTCAGCTCAAGCCTTGAACAGCTCGATCGCCAATCTCAATCGCACTGCTCCTGCTGCTGCTGCTCCGCTTTTCCCTTCCAAAGAGTTCTCGCCCCAATTGCCTCCCCGCTGCGCCTACTTTTTCTATTCTCCGCCGCCAAGAGAATTCCTCCCCAGTCCGGCTACTGCGCCTGCTGCCTTCCCCTCTCCTTTCCCGTGTCCAACTAATTCCAAAACCAAAGTCCCAAATTGCCTCTTCCGTCCAAAATAAATCCCCCAAGCCAAAAACGTGTCCAATTAATTCCACCAAATATGTCAAAGTAATGATGGCCTGTCCAACTAAATGGACCATGTCCACTTAATTTCTCTTCCTGACCCAATGGCGTCTCCTCCCCGAGACAAAGTAATTTGGGCCCCAAATATAGTTGCCAAGAGACTTCCCTAGGTTTTCGTGTCCAAGCTTGTGCTGCCCCAGATAATTGCCCTCACTAATCAATTCCTCCTTCCCAAGCCTTCCGCCCAAAAAGAATTCCCTTTCCTCCAAGTATCTGTCCGTCCAAAAATAGTCCACCCCTGGTCCAAGTCTCATGGCCCAAATCAATTGGTCGTGCACTCTCTTCTTTCGTGCTTTCTCCACCTGTAATATATCAAACTCATGGCACTAAGCAGTAATGGTTTTTCAACCATTCTCGGGTTAGGGAGCCCTAATATAGCACCAATCGACTTAAACATACCATGAGATAGTCACATAAAGCTCAAGAATCAGATATATTAAAGCCGATTATCAGTCCACTCAATCACCCATCACCAGCAGCAAATATCAACATCACCATAGCATCACAACAACCAGAAGAATCGCGCAAAAGAAGGATAGTGGTGAAGAATGTGCATGGACCAGAGAAGAAAGCAAAAACATCAACCCCCCCTCCCCCAGAAGAAACAACAAGCCAACCGTTGCTGAATAAACCATTCATTGATTGGTCAAACTTGTACTCGAACAGCCAAGAGAGGCTACTGGAGATAAATGCATGCTTGGATGCTTACATTGATGACCAGAATACTCTAGTTTCACAACCAATAACAGGAATGAGCTCATCAGCAGCAAATGCACCAGTTCAGGTAAAAGATGGTGCCATAGATGCAATCCCAATTGCAATGATGGTTACACCACCACAAACAACTCCTGATGAAGTTTTCAGTGACATCCTTGAGTACATAAGGTGCAAAGACAACATAATTGCCTCCCAGTAAGTAAATTTCTTAATAGCAATTAATATATAAATAGCGTCTGTTTTGCATTAGGGGTCCAGTGGGATACGGTCAGGTCTACCGTATATCTTTTTCCGTCCGGTTTCGTTTTTCTTGGTTCGCTTTTCCTTTTCCTTTTGCCCCTCCGTTATTCCCATCGATTATTCATTTAGCGATTGGGCAAGCATAGACCCTTCCCACTACTTCCCTTCCAGAAACCGGAACCCTAATCGATGGACCACGTAACAGATAGATTTGAGGGCTGGGTAAGAACTCGGTCTACCATTTGTTCACTGCGACCTCTTCCCAATTTCCCGACGCTCTTCCCCTTCCTGGCGATTAGCCAAGTTTCCTTCTTTCTCTCTTCTTTCCCGTCAATGGCAGCTAGCTAAGATGGAGATGATCTTGATTACGAACAAAGCTTGGTTTTCTGGGTTTCGAGAGTCAAGGTTCCCAATTATGAATATAAAGCTATATATCCCTACTGGTAAGATCTAACATCGAAGGAGCAGGTTGCGGGCAAGTGACGATTGAATCGAACTGTCCACATCTTCTTGGACTTCTCCTCAAGTAACCTCTCACACACTCAATGTATATACAGTGCTGCACCATTTTCATAGAAGAGAAGAATCATATGAAAGACAGGGATGGTTAAAAGAAAGATGTGGTGGGTGGTGAATAGAAGCGTAAACGGTTGACAAGTGTGGAGGACTTGGCTCTTCTATGATTTCATATCTTATTGAATTCGTTTATGAACTCTAGATAAGTAGCCAACTACATATATAGTATAGGTGTTGCTGGCTTTCATATGCTTCTTTTCCCTTTCAAATGCTTTTATATACCACAGAATATATATGCATGCATGAGTGCCACCTGTTGACAATGAGAACCAAAAGGTACCAAATGGCGACTCATAACGGTGGTGGTGGTAACATGATTTACAGAGTTAGAACGAAACTAAGACATTATTACCCACCCCCCATTATCCAAGGCTTCCTCTCCGTTACTTAGATGCTCCATGATGCTACTTGAAATTGGTATTTCTTAATGTTGTTTTCATTTTATACTCTGTTCGCTGCCCTGCTTTATGTTGAACTTGACTTCCTTCTTTTGGGTTTGTTATAAGTTATTAAATCTAAATTCATATAACAAATTGTTGAACAAGCTTTGTTTCATGTTTCAACAACGACTTGGAGAGCTTGCAAAAATTTATCCCATGAGAAGAGGGATGGTCATATAAAGTAGAGTTCACAATGCTTTTTTAGCAGAGGAATTCATTCTATAGCACTAGCATATTAGCACCAGCATGCAAAAGTCATTAGTATATAAATGGTTATCAACACTTGTAGATTAAAGCTTGAGAATTACATTATATTATAATTTACAACAAGGCACTGTTTTGTTTCATGATAAGGGTTTCTATTGATTTTCCTTTTATGTGTAACAACATATATACAACTTTCTTGAGTTAGTATCAAGTGAAGCACATGGAAGTTAAATCCTTCAAAAAAAAAATCACTATCCTTATTTCAACCAAACACATAATTGTAACGATATGATCATACGGTTTGACATGATTAATTATTTTCTTTGCTTTTAAGAGAATCCATGATACAATTAAAAAAAGTCTCAATTTAGTAATTGGAACCAACTCAATTTATAAAAATGTCTAATCCACTCTAATCAAATGGTCATATGTAGTCTCATTCTATCTAATATAATTTAATTGATAGTCATGTATACCCGCCGCAAAGTGCGGGCCAATTATCTAGTTAATTTCTTAATGACATATACTATAGTATGGTATTCTATGGTATGCTATGGTAGTGCAGTGCCATATGGACTTCTTTGTTGGAACATAATACCATATGGTATAATGTGGTATGCTGTTGAATAATACCACATGGTATAATGTGGTATAATGTTGAATAATACCATATGGTATAATGTGGTATACTGTTCTGAACAGGGACGAGGTAACGTTCAGAAGAAAGGATGGGACGAGGTATAATGCTATGGTAGTGCAGTGCCATATGGACTTCTTTGTTGGAACATAATACCATATGGTATAATGTGGTATGCTGTTGAATAATACCACATGGTATAATGTTGAATAATACCATATGGTATAATGTGGTATACTGTTCTGAACAGGGACGAGGTAACGTTCAGAAGAAAGGATGGCACAGGCTTACTCAAAAGGTCATCATTGCAATCTGCTGACATAGATCAACAGATAACAACTGATGTCGTGGACTGTTATGGAGATCGGATGAACAGAGATCAAGCAAAAAAAGGACAAATCTCCAAGTGGTTCTTCTCTAGTCATTTGGCAGTAAGTTTATCCATCTTCTAATATATTTGACTTACCATGCTAGAATATATGATTGCCTTAACATAATTTCATATTTTAAGGCTGACTGCAAGCTGGACATAGACAACAACAATCCCCAATTAAGTGCAGACCAATAGTTCGACAAAGTTGGCGAATATATTTCCGACAAAGAATGGGCAAAAGACCTCAGCTTCAAGAACTGTGACCTTGTAAGAACACAACTAAAACCATATAATAGCATATAGTATGACATCAAAAAACTATTCCTCAAAACATATTTATAATTATCCATTAACATTCTCAATTTATTCATATCAGTCTCCGCTACAAAGACTTTGAGAAGACTTACAGACCAATGGCAGAAAGAGTTGTCAAGCATGCAATCAACTACATGAGTGTATACTGTGGAAATAGACAAATCCCCTGGGAGAAGTTTGACTGGTTCAATCTGGGGAAGATTACACAGCCAGATAAACTCTCATGTGGATTGTACATAATTAGATGGATGCGCCATTAGTAAGGAAAGTACAAGACTTTTATGTAGACAGACTGGAAGAGAGTGGATCTGATCAATGAAGAAAGGGAGTGTCTCATGCTGGATATCATCCTTGATAAAGAAAACCTTGAGCGTGATAGGATTATGAAAGGTGCCACAAAGTACTGCGCTATGAAGAATCAAGGCAAGTAAGGAAAGGAGAGAACATCAGTATGGATCTAATGTCTACTATAGACATCTACTTTTGAAAACAATGCTTTTGAAGAGAAACAATATGTTAACTATTTTTATTATGTGTGTTCTTTTGAGAACAAACAAGATATTAAGTATTTTTTATTATGGGTGTGTTAAAACTTACATTTGAAACACTACTTATTATGGTTATGTAACAGCCTAGTACTTTATGTTACCCTTTATTAATGTCACAGATCTAAGATTACACTCATCAAAATGTTTATACCATGTTATACCATACCACATGGTATAAACATTTTTAAATACACCACACCACAACACATGGTATTTTATGATAACTGAACACACCACACTACACTAATATGGTAAAAGTAAAAATAAAAATAAACACCACCATGACAAAACCATAGTAAAACATTATATCAAAGGTTAAATTCATCCACGAAACATTAAATCCTTCTCATGTGCAGATCCATACTACTTCAAACAAAAGCAAAAAACAAAATCCAAGAAACACGTAAAATTCAACAACATCAAAACAGATAATAAAACTCCACAGCCTTCAAACAACTATCACAACTTCAACTTCAGACTTTCTTCCACAGCCTTCAAATTCTCCTCCTCCAATATGCTGGTCTTTTTCTTGTTCCTACTAGCCGTCCTTCCAATTTCAGGCTTCTGTAATTGGTCGTTTCGAAGGCTTATATGAATCATTCTTAGACTTAAACCCCTTCACATTTCGAACTGGAACATCACCTACAAATAAAAAATACATACTACAATAAATAACAAATATATAAGAACAACTAAAAAAATATTCAACTTATCAGTTGAAAACATATACCACAATACCATACGGTATTCCACACATTACCAGAAACAATAAAGAAAACTACACTATACTACATGGTACAACATGGTAAAACAACTTCGCAAACAAAAAAACATCACAAATTATATACACGATCACAGCAAAGAAATGCTGCAATAAAAGAAAGAAAGGAACAATCAACTTATCACAAATGAAACATTACCACATAGTATTACAAAACATTAGAAGTAACAAGCCGAAAACCACCCTATACCACATGGTACAACATGGTAAAAAAACTTGGCAGACAAAAAAATAACAAAATCATATACACAACAAAATGGGGCGAGGGAACTTACTCTCACAGTTGGTCGATCCACCCGTACCAGCTGTTTCGACAATTGGTAAAGCTTCACACTTCTTGATCAAATCACTCATGAAATCCATGGTTGTTTTATACAAATCATCATTCAAACAAACCCTACTGATAAGCGATGCAGAAACAACTGAAATAGTGAACAGACGAGACCGATACTTTGACGGAGTCTCAGTAGACGAAACTGCAAATCCAAAATTTCCACCAGTTTTTGCTATCCTTGTCCATCGCTTTAAAATCAAAGTAGAAGGAATGTGATGGAACTTCACATTGCAAGTTGTAGAACACAACAAATTGTATCCCCTCAATTGATGCTTACACAACAAACCACTTGACTCCCACTTGCGACAAGTACACTTAATTTCACCATTATCAAAATAAACTATCAGCAGTCTACTATCAAACCTTGAGAAGTATGCTAATAATGTGAAGACATCAAAGATCTTTACATTCCCTTCTTGAGCTAACTATGTATTAGGGAAAACATTGTATGAAAGAGATTCTTTGTAATGACGAAGATTACTGTTGCAACACTCGCTTAACTGGGTGCTCTTCATACCAGCACCAAAATGAGAATTCACCCAAGCCGATGACCACTTCTCCCTTACCTTGTAAATACCTTGTAACTAATTGTGTCCAAGATGTCCTTTCCTAGGGAAACACTTATCTATCATTCTTTTCCAATTATACTCAAAATCATCCTCATCATCAACATTGTACATAAAATAGCTAAGCTCACAAAGGAAAGCCGAATCACACAAAGATCTCAGATTAACAACTACATTCTGTGAGACATGTCATGAACACAATCCATGGAAATAACTTGGGAAAATAGACCTTATACCAGCAGCAATTGCAGCAGACTGATCACTTAAAATAGACGACGGGCTCATACCTCCCATGCATTCCAAAAACTGATTAAACAACCACTCAAACATTATCGTTGTTTCATCATATAGAAGGGCAGCTGCAAACACAGTGAGTTGATGATGGTTGTTGAAACCAACAAACAAAGCTGCACAAAGGGGGCAGTTCGGTTTCCGGTTAGCAGCTAACCGGACAGTTTATCCGATAACCGCTGGTTACCAGCTAACCGAAAAGCGACGGTTATTTACCTCGGTCGGTGCACGGTGGAAGAAAGGTGATTTTCGGCTAGCCGAGTAACCGAGGGTAATTAACCACGGTTACCCGACTAACCGAAAATAACCGGCCATCCACCCAAAGTCCAGCCCAAAGCCCAACCATCCTCCTCCTTCAAAACCCAGCCCAGCCAGCCATCCAAACCCTACCCTCAGATTTCTTTCTTCTTCTTTTTCCATCGCCATCTCCCTAATTCTTTCTTCTTCTTCTTCTTCTTCTTCTTCTTCTTCTTCTTCTTCTCCGACGAACCCAGGCCTCCCCGCTTCTCCCATCACCTTCCTCGCCTTCCTCCGTCGAGCCGCATACAGAGTAGAGATAGTCAAACGGCGACCCATGCCACCGCGACCCCTGCCCCTTGCAGATCTATCCATCCATCTGCCTCTCCATTTTTGCCTCTCCTACGCCGGGGACGTTGTCGCTCCCTCTACTCGCCTCCCAGCACTACCCTGACATCCGCCTCTGCTCCTGCATGGCCGACATTGTGCAGATGTGGTGGGTTTGAAATGGAGGAAGGAAGGAGAGAGAAGGAAGAAGGAGTCTGGTGAGTTTTTTTGGGAGAAAGGAAGAAGGGGTATGGTGGGATTTTTTGGGAGGAAAGAAGGAGAGAGAAAGAAGAAGTGGTCCACGAGTCTGGTGGGGTTTTTGGGTGGGAGGAAGGAAGGAGAGAGAAGGAGATAAGGATTTAGTGGGGGGAGATTTTTTTTAATAATAATTTTTAATGTATTTTGTAGAGAGAAGGGAGTGTTTTTTTGCTTATGCGGCTAACCGAACCAAAACCAATAATCGACCGGTCGGTGGTCGGCTAGCCGTGGTGTCCTTCACGGTCGGTGGTCAGTAGCAGGCAGTGGTGGCTCGGTTTAACCGATAATCGAGAAATCGGTATTCGGTTAAACTGAAATTGACCGACTGACAACCCTAGCTGCACATACCATGTGGTACACAGTGTTAAAAAAACCACAAAATACCACCATAGTATTAACAGATAACAACATAATACCAAATCAAAATAACTATAATACAGAATAATCACAAATATAAGAACACATACCTAGTGGTCGATAGTCTTTATTCGTTCTGTATGTAGTATCAAAACTAACTGAATCACCAAAAAATTGATAATCCATCCGCATTTTCCCATGTGCCCAAAAAATACTAGCAATATTCTTGTCCACATCAACCTCTACCTCATGAAAAAACCAGGATCTAGCTTAGCTTGTCGTCTAAAGTATTTTAGCAATGCAGTTGCATCACCATGCTCCATTGATGACGTACTCATTGTCCGCAGGTGGTTCTTCAAATCATTTCTTGTGAACCCAATACACTTCCGACCACCACCAGCTGTACTTATTGCATTATACGAAGCAGTCACACCTATACCAGCACCATTATTCACATCTGCCAAGATTTTATAGACAGGATCCATTTGTCTATTCGATCTCATGTAGTGACGCATACTCTCAGGAATCATGTCATGATTAAGGACATCATACCACTTATAAATCTTATAACACTTAAACTCCCTAAACCACCTAATTCGAATATAGGCACCATCAGATCCACCCCTGATTTCTGGAACACGACGAGCACGAGCCTTCACATCAATAGAACCACGATTAGCAGGATTATTCTCACTACCAATCCTTCAGCCTTCCTTATTGCAACAATACTTAATATAATAAACTGCATTTGAACCATTATTAAGCTTCGAACATTAGGATCTATACCATCAAAACCTAAAACATAATAAGAATTAAACATTAATTCTGTAAAAAATATAATACCACCATAGTATAATATGGTAAAGTTTATTACATTCAAAAACTCTATAACAAAATAAAATAATACTACAAAAACCACCATGGTATTATAAGAAAAATTTATCACGAACTATATACAGGAACATAAAACCACGACAATTATAATAACAATCTATAACAAAGAAAACACAACACTCATATGCAAAAATACCATAAAATACCAGTATGGTATTTTATGGTATAATATAGTATTGTATGGTATAACATATATACAAATTTCAACTTACCAAACACATTTAAAATTCTTACCTCCCGATTCAACAACGCTATGAGAAGAACTAGATCCAGTATTAGATCCATTCAAAGAAACAATGGCGCCTTGATTAAGATCACTCATTGCACTAAAAAAAGCTGAGTCAACAGAGAAGATTCAAAAGATTCCTACACAAAACATAAATTTAACTACGGATCAATCAACTGAACAAAAAACGCAGAACAAAAAAAGAAAAACATTATCAAACTTATACAAACAGATCACCAAGAACATAAAACAAAGAGCACTAAAGAGAAAACGCAGATAAATCATATATACACAAAATCAAAAATAAATTACAGAATGGAATCAATGCGAAAACATAAAATCCTACTATAACTATAAATTACCTCAACGGAGATCAAACAACAACCAGCAAAAAACTTCAACACAAGCAAATCGCGCCACAACCTCGAGCAAAAAGAAGAAAAGAGATGAAAAAAACCTAACTACTAATAACTTGCAAGTCCGCCACCAATTAAGCTAAGAATCGCGTCCTCCACCGACCTTCTCGCCATCGAGTAATCCTTCGGAGAAAAACTCTCGTTTGCTCTGTTTACTTCTCATTCTCTCTCATAAATCCAATTCCAGCTCGGCCGAAAATAACCAAAAAGGTATAAATACGGAAGAAATAAATTCAAATAATGGACAAAAATACACCTGCCCCACCCCGCTCCGACCCCAGCCATTGGATCTCCCCGCTCCAGATCGACGCCTCCTGTTGGGTTACTGACGTGTGTATAACCATGGGTTATGCACCCTATCTTGGACCGTGTCCACCCCCACAAAACTCGACGACTGAAACCCACCGCCCGCTGTTCTTACCGTCACAACCTGAACCCTTGGTTCAAAAAATCAGATTTCTGAAACCTTTTCCTAGTAACTGCTCAACGAGCCCGTCGTGGACAACTCCACAAAGCCCGTTGAGCGAATCCCGGGTAAACTATCAAATCTAAAAACTCATTCTCAAACTCGTCTTCAACTTTTTCTCACTACTCTCTTTGCCTCGTTCATGTATCTTTTCCCTTCTCCACTCTCCTCGGATGACCTGCTGAGACCTCTTCTTACTCTTCTCCAATAATTCCCCTCATTTTTTTTAGCAGCGGGAGAGAAGGAAAGTTCAGACCTGGGATTCCGCCAAAATGAATGTTGAAAATCTGATCGATAGGTGTTTGGTTGTTTTTTGGGTTCAGATTCCGCAGGCGGCGGTGGAGATGGATGGGAAGGCAGGGTGAGGGCCGCGAAGGTGGAGGACGGGTGAGTCTGTGTGGGTTCCCGGGTTTGATTCCCCGTCTCTCACTCGTGGTTTCTAGTTTTGAGAGGAAGAGTAGGCAAAGCATGGAGAGTGTTAAGCAACAGCAGGCATGAGTTGGGATCCCGTTTGCCGAAAGTTGGGATTCCGCGAGTGGTGAGCATAAGCAGACAGATATTCTGATCGGAGGTAGCAATTGAACGGATAAAGGGTAGATACGTTTCTTCAAAACTTGAGGACAATGAGAAATAGGAGATACCAGGTGAAATATTGGAAAGGGGAAGATGAGAGGCAAAGAGTTGGAAAAAGAGATGGTTGAGTGTGGGTTTGAAAAACAGAGAAGGAGAAGAGGGATTGAAAGGAGAGGAGAAAAGGTATGGTCTACTGAGAACAAAAGGTTGCGTATGGTTAAGAGAAATCAGAATAATAAGAGAGTATTGCAGAGTTCTGAGTGGAGAGATCGTCAGAGAAAAAGAAGATCCTCTAGTTTCTTAAGGGCGAGTGGGGTAAAAGAAAGTGACAGAAATTGTGAGAGAGGAGAAGCTAGCCATGTTGGCCAATGAAGGACAAACTCTTGGAAGTTGGCCACTCGCAAAAGGAGAGTTTGTGGGCCACTAATGAACAATTACCAAATGTTAGGCTTTTATATATCAACTGATAAATGGCCCGCACTCCGCGGCGGGTAATAATGCTATATAATAGATTATAATATTCATTGTTTTTAGTACAAAATATCTAACAATTCAGGCATTCAGCACCATAAAGAGTTTGTTATAATGGTCTTCTACATTTTAACTCAATACATAAAGAGTTCCAAATGCCACAATATACTGAACAATATGGAAGTAGTAGTCTACTGTTAGAATCCGCAAAAAACCCAGTAAGTTGACCTCCATCAACATCTCACCAAGTTTGGAGTATCAAAAAGACCAAACCAATCAAATTCCTTTTTGTTACACTTCGACATCCACAAACTGGCAGCCTGGTGATATGCTTTTTTCATTATTTTCAAATAATCCATAGGGCTTGGGCCAATTACCCTTCTCATTTCTCCACACTGTTGAGAAATATAGATAACAAAAGGAATTGGTAACACAATCAAAACTTGAGAATAAGTCAATAGCACCTGTCATAACAGAACATTGACGGACTACATCATGTATTTAGACATTTAAAAAGTACCCCATGTTTTCACTCAGTACTATCACTGAGATGAGCATCAATAGTACCGCATTATTGAACCGGGTACAGTTAGGTTGAAGTCCAATGAAAAAAGCTTTAATGCTTCGTGATGCTTTTTGTAATTTTCCTTGCCCCCGGTCTTCTATACTCCGGATTTTGCCCTGGGCACCCTATAACTTCCCATACATATACATACATACATACATACATACATACATACATATGGTGCCTTCTACGGTACTCCAGGTGAAATCCGGGGTACCACATACTTTGAGTATGAAAACGCTATTTAGACCTTGAATTTGCAGGATTTTTGTGCATGATATTATACCCTAACCCTTAATGAGTGAACTCTAGGTCCTAATTATCTAAATCATAAACTATTAACCCTAAGATGGTGTATTGATTTTTTTGCCTATATTTGGACGAATCATAACCGTCGATTATTTTTTTCTCATTAAATTGATCTTTGGGTATAAGATTTAGAGAATTAAGACCTAGATTTGATCTTTAAGGGTTAGAGTATAGTATCATGTTCGAAAGATCAGTCAATTCAAGTTCTGGATAGCGTTTTCTTACTCAAGGTATGTGGTACCACAAATTTCACTCTGGGTGCCGTAGAACTCCCCATATATATATATATATATATACGGTATTCCGGGTGAAATACGGGGTATCGTATACCTTGAGTATGAAAACGCTATCTATACCTCGAATTAGCAGGATTTTTGGGGATGATACTATACCCTAACCCTTAATGAGTGAATCTTAGGTCCTAATTATCTAAATCATAAACAATAAACCCTAAGATGGTGCATTGATTTTTTGCCTATATTTGGACGAATCATAACCATCGATTATTGTTTCTAATTAAATTGATCTTGTGGTATAAGATTTAGAGAATTAAGACCTAGATTTTGATCTTAAGGGTTAGAGTATAGTATTATGTCCAAAAGATCAGTCAATTCAAGGTCTAGATAGTGTTTTGTTACTTAAGGTATGCGGTACCCCGGATTTCACCCTGGGTACTATAGAACTCTCCATATATATGGAGAGTTCTACGGCAGGTTAGCGTATGTCAGACGTATATTGTACGCCTATCGAGTTTTACTATTTAGAGCACGAATTAACCGGAGTTTGGGACATAATACTATACCCTAACCTCTAATGGGTGAACTCCAATCCCTAATTCTATAATCCAAGCCACAATATTCATTTAATCTATAAAAAAAGATCTCATAACAATTATTAGCGATTGAAAGGGTCATTTCCTTTCAGATTTCATCCAACATAATATATGAGTTTTTAATTCTTTATGGAGGAGGATGCAAGTTATTCTTGTGATGTATTTTTTCCATTGATTAATTCTTTATGTGAGAGATAAATTACATTTGTTGTTCACTGTGTTTGATTACATGTTTATTATTTTGTAAAAAATGTTTAAGTTCGCTAAATCATAGTCATATAATAAGTTAGCAATCAATTAAACTCTGTGAAGGAGGATGCAAGTTACTCATTTGTTGAACAACAGAACAAAGGGTTCGTTTGGATGGAACATTCTGATAGAGCAATGTGACCCAATTGACTCATTTTGAGTCAATTGGACCAAATTGCTTCATTTGGCCACAAAATATTTGAACGAAGCAATTGTACAAGGGGCAATTGAAATTGACTCATTAGGGGTGAATTCTAATTACCTGGGTAGGGGGGAGGAATTGTGAATTGTCTCATTTTGCCCATATATTTGCCCAATCTATCCCCTTTTGTCGTTCTCTCTCTCTTACTTTTCTTTCCCATTTTCCGATCTCTTTTCCCCATCTTTCTTCCCGATCTGGTTTTCTTCTTTATCTTGCCCTCTCTCTTAGCCAAAATAGAAGAAGCCCACCTCATCGTTGTTGATAGGGAATAGTTTCCGCCGATGAGCATAATCGATAAGTTCTCAAAGCGGCGACAATAGAAGGGGAGGGATATTGGGTTTGTTGATAGATATGTTTTTGGACTGTTGCATGTGGGGTTATAGAAGAAAAATCTACCATCGCACTCGAACCGCCATTGTATGCTTCTGCCCAACAGGCGACGACATCCCTCATGCCCAGACTCTTCACCGTTGCTTCAGCTCAAGGCAACATGAGGATTGCACTCAACATCACCAAGCATAAACCCCCTTTTTCTGGTCTCGATTTTGTTTTGTTTTTGGTTAATGATTCCTTGTTAAAATTTTCGATTTGTTTTTTGGGTTTTTTTGGGAGAGCACAAACCCTGTAAAATAGAAGTTCGCCGGAGCAGGGGGATCAAAATTTGCAGAAGATAAGGTGAAGGCTTTGTTTTCTTGGGGAAACTAACTGCATGTTTTGTGGTTAAGGTGAGGGTGTGAGATTGTTTTCTGATGGTTTGATTAATTGTTTTTTCTTGAAGTAATGGTTTTGATTCATTCAAGATTTAATTTAGTCAAGATTTGATTTGGGGAAAATCTTATTGCTTGGCTGGGGATCTTTCTACTTGGATTTGGGGTTTTTTTTTCCATTGCTCTGTTTCTCAACGTATGATCTGGGAAGTATTTTACCTGGGCTTGTGCTAAAGAAGGAATAGGGAGGAGGATAAGAAAACAAGGAAAAAATTGTAATTTTAGTAAATGTCTCTTCCCAATTGCCTCATCTCAAATAACAACCCAAACAAGGCAATTTGTGACAAATGTATCATGCAATTGTCTCATTTTGTAAAATGAGACATTTACACCAAATTGTCTCATTTTGTAAATGATCCATCCAAACGACCCCAAAGATAATTTCTTCTTACTGGTTTACACGAGTTGAGAAAAGCGAGGAGTGGAGAAAAGGAAAGATACATATTTAATAGGGCCCACTAACAGCACCGTTAACATTTTCCCGTTAAGTGTTCCGTTTTATATTAATTTTGAATTGTAACATGTAAGAAAAGGAACCAATAGAGGAATTCCACCTGGATAGGCTGCAGAACCCCCTGCGACCTGGTTTGCAGGTAAACATTGTTTGTATTGCTGTTAGAAACCGAACAGGAAAAATTAGTGTTATCGAATCTGGCTGAGTCGCGGACTAGGTCACTTTCTTTAAGACGTTCGCAGCACTGCCTCGTAATGCGCACATCATACTATCAGTCGGTCGCCTCAAGGATAAAAACAACCATTCTAATTTTATTACTCTTCGGTTTTGTGCGAAAACCGGAGCTCTATGAATTCACTCTCTCTCGTGTTTCTGCTCTTCTGAGGTGTGTTTAGAGGGTCTGAGGGGGGGGTCTGCTATTTATAGGAGCATAAAACCCAGAATATTCTCTCTTTCTTTGGGAATAAGTCACATTTTAATTAGGGAGATAATTACTCCCATAGTTAAATTATAATCTATTAAGATAATTAAACTTTATTATCTCCATAATATTCCTTTTATTAATTATCCATCTTATTTTCGTATTATGGGAAAATACTGGATAATTAATTAGGAATTTCATTTATAGCTTTTCAAAGTTATTCATCCCAACAATCCCCCACTCGAATAGTTTTGAAACTATCTATGAGCATCAACAGTTCCATAAGATCGGGCATAAGCTAAGGTATCGCGAAGATTTGAACCTTAGCGTAGTGCTTACACGTGTGATTTCATAAGGGTGACTCGTAGTCTTAAACCCTATCTCAAACAATGTAGCACACCGGATCTTTTCATTGAGTGATATTCTCTCATAGGCTGTGCGTTTATGGCCATGCACGTTATCCCGGTTTAGTGAACGCTATAGCAACTTTGTGCCTCCAAAGTTCCATAGAGAGCGGCCCCACTCCCACATTCACATAGGTGAGTCGATCAGAAGTACCCCCAAAGTAAAGTACTTCACTCCACATAGAGTATAGATCTCATTAAGAGTTAAACTCAACCTCCAAGGCTTTGGGATTCATCCTTCACTATGCATGAAATTTTCTCAATATTACTCATGACTTGTTATTACCCATTAAACCCGTTTCTTGGGATCTCAAGTCTATCGGGTCGAGTTACCATCACTTGTAATCCATGGTTCAGTATGCATAAGTCTCATACCCTTCGTGGTATTTTGGACTTTTCTCTCTAGGTAATCCTTTCGACAAAGGATCAGCTAGATTCTGTTAGGATCTCACATGATCCACCCTCATTGCTCCTATCGTTAGGAGTTCTCTTACAGTATTGTGCTTACGATGAATTCGTCATCTCTTTTCGTTCTAGAACCGGTTCCCTTCTTTAGTAATAGTTGTGGTGCTATCACAATGAATCAACTACCGGAGGGATCGGCCCTTCCCATAAGGGAATCTCTAGTAATGACCCTCTCAATCAACTTTCCTCTTTACTAGCCATCGCTAGCTCTATCATTTCTGATTCCTTAGTTGATTGAGCCAGGATCATTTACTTCTTAGAGTTCCAAGACGCAACTCTTCCAGTGATGTTTAAACATGTAACACCCTATCCTATACGTATTACCTAATCATATTGTTCATACAATTGCAGCGGAATTAATCTCGGGTGTTACATTAATTATCAAAATTTATCTAAATAAAATTTCGACATGAATTACTCGCGTAATGGGCTAACAGTTCTTGCAACTTGTCCTGCAAAATAATTTATCACAAACATATATACTCACAACCATAAGCATTGGCTTTCCATAGCCATAGTCACAGTTTTCATACTTCCTAACTGCATACCATACTTATACATACCATAATCGTCACAACTTACACAGTTACACAACATATACACATATCATCAACTTTCCACACCTGTGGATATCTCACACTACATCAGAAGCTAGTATGCACATGAAAAACGTTCTCAAAACATTTTTACAAAAAGGTGTGGATCACTGGCCAAAATCCCGAGTAGTAGTCCAAGCACAGAATAGTTGAAGACCATACCTCATCCTGGCTTCAACTCTAGCTCCTCTCCCACCTAACACTTATCTACTGCTGCTGCTGATGATCTGCTTACACATAGCATAAGCAGAGAAGAAGAATAAAAGAGGGTCAGCTCTTAGCTGAGTGAGATAATCATAGCATCGTGAGTTCATAACAGAGCATACCCCTACCATACATCTAGCAAACGAGCCAAAACACTAGGATCGGACCTCAGCCATCCTCATATCCCAATAAGCAAAAGACTCAACCACTTTGACTTATGCATATGCATCTTATCATGTTTTAATCATAGGCGCCTGGCTACTCCCATGCTAATAACTCTCCCGGGAAACATACCCCACATCCCGTCGGATGTAGTCATACATACCCCAACATCCCGTCGGATGTGGTCATACATACCCCACACCACTATGGGTGTAGTCATACCCCGACACCACTCTGGGTGTGGTCATATCTCGTAAGAATTCTTCAGTCACCACCACATGAGAGGTGTGACTATCATATCATAATAGAGTAATAGCATAGGGAGCCCTAATTACTATGTAGTTGACCGTGAGACCACAACACTCATATTTGGTATCCTTATACATGATTCATATCTCATCTTGCTTAATCATAATTCATTACTTGCACATGTACTTGACCTGGCCATAATTGGCTCAACATAGGTAAACCAGGAGTCGTATAGTTGCACTTCCTCGGGATAAACCCTCGTGCAAGTCATCCTCCTTAAAACATCATGATATCACCAGGGAATATATATTTTCCCACTTATGCATCCAAATACAACAATCATGAAAAATCATATCCAATCACCTTCTCGAACCAACATAAGGCATATTCACAATTAAACCCACATCTGGCAACATATATGGAATTATCAACATAAACAAGGTCCATATCGATTAAGGCAAGTCAATAATATCATACAGAAGCCTATAGTTCATCATATAGCAGAGAAGTCCATACACCCATAATCATGCCATTCTAATTCACCTAGGTCAATTCTAAGCATCAATATAATTATCGTGATACGACAAACCCGGTATGCCGTGCTAATCCCTCACCAGTTCTGGTCGTTCAAACACCGGTTTAACCTTCCCGTACTAAAACGTCAATTTCAGGAACGAACCCCGAATTAAAATCCGAGACCGTCCTAATATCCCCTGCAGTATCCCCGTCAATATTAGTTCTAGGCTCCGGGTCAAATTCTCGATAAAAGCACATCAAACCCTGGCCGGAGCTAAATTCAGCGGTTTGGACCCTGGCCTAAATAATAGCCGAAAATCAGGAATTAGAACTAGGGGATTGATTACCTCGCTGCAAGAAGCTCGTATATGAAATTTGGGCTCAATCCGGCTTCCGGATACTCCGAAACCCTAATTTGGCAGATCGGGAAATCAAGAAATTCCTGAACCAAAAACTCGTTTTAAAGCTCTAAATCGATAAATCACGATGTATGGATGAATTAGGCATTACTTACGGGATTTTTTGGATCACTAGGGCTCAAGATTGGAGCTTTGGAAATTCTACCCGAGCTCCCCTGTACGCTCTCTGTTCCTCTGCTTCTCTCGCGGATGGAAATGAGAAAAAATGATGTTGATGATGATAATTAATGGACGGGGGAGAAACTTTATATAAGTGACCGCTTAATTGTAATATTATATATATATATATATTATAATTAATACGTATACCTATCCGATCGATCGATAATCCGATTTTCGCCGAAATAGTGTCGAAATGCTCGATTTTAAATCGCGAACTTTCTAGCGATCGAAATATGGGTTTTGCCGGAACGGGATGTTACAATTCTCCCCTCCTTAAAAGATTTCGTCCCCGAAATCTATTCTTGAGTCGTACTCTAACTCCCCTTACTAACCCTTAACATGGTCTATCGTAGATAAACCCTTACCTACCTCTTAGGTTAGGAGATTCATAACATAGAAAGTAACACATAACACCTCAAGTTCCCATGTTTAGGTTTCAAAAACCTATACTGGGCTATCACAACAAAAGCACATCAGCAAGTTCAAAACATATCTTATTAGGCAAGATTGTTAACCTGCAAGGTAGGTTGCTACCAACTCAGGGTACTTCTCTCGCATACTTGCTTCAGTTTCCCAGGTAGCACTCTCACTTTCTTGATTTCTCCAAACCACTTTCAACATTGGTATTTCTTTCCTGCGAAGAGTCTTAACCTGATGGTCAACAATCTGCACTGGGACTTCTTCAAATGTTAAATCTGTACCCAACTCGATCTCTTCTGGTTGTATAACATGGGAAGGATCCACTTTGTACCTTTTCAGCATACTAACATGAAATACATTGTGGATTTGAGATATTTCTGGAGGCAATGCTAACTTATAAGCCACTGGTCCAATCTTCTCTGTGATTTCATATGGCCCAATATATCGAGGTGCAAGCTTTCCTTTCTTACCAAATCTCATCACCCCTTTCCATGGTGACACTTTGAGAAATACTTTCTCACCCACTTCGAAATTAACTTCACGCCTATTCGTGTCAACATAAACTTTCTGTCGATCTTGAGCCACCCTCAACCGCTCCCTGATTTCCTTGACCTTATCAACTGTGATCTGAACTATCTCTGGCCCTGAGATTTGCCTTGCTCCTTCTACATCCCAACATAATGGTGTTCTACATTTTCTCCCATAAAGTGCTTCATATGGTGGGACACCCAAACTACTATGGTACTGATTGTTGTAAGCAAACTCAATCAGGGGCAAATGGTCAATCCATGATTCCTCCCATTGCATTACACATGATCGAAGTAATTCCTCCAAAGTTAGGATGGTTCGTTCACTCTGCCCATCTGTTTGAGGATGATAAGCTGAAGTAAAATGCAGTTTAGTTCCCAAGGCATCATGTAAACTTTGCCAAAACCGAGATGTGAAGCTCGGGTCTCGATCAGAGACAATAGAAATTGGCACACCATGCAATCTGACGATCTCCTTAATATATAGTTGAGACAAAGTCTCCAGTGATGGTTTCCATCTAATGGGTAAAAAGTGAGCCGATTTGGTCAGTCGGTCCACAATCACCCATACTGCATCTTTTCCCCTTGATGATGGGAGACCATATACAAAATCCATTGTGATTCTTTCCCACTTCCATTCTGGAATTGGAAGTGGTTGCAGTTTTCCCACAGGAGCTTGATGTTCTGCCTTAACTTTCTGACATACCAGACATGTGAAAACATGTTCAGCCGCTTCCTTTTTCATCCCACGCCACCAAAAATATGGTTTGATCGTGTGATACATTTTAGTTGCTCCTGGGTGCATAGCATAAGCAGAAGAATGAGCTTCATCTAGGATCTCTTTCCTCAAGTTATCAACATTAGGAACACATGCTCTTCCATTAATCTTCAACATGCCATCTACCATTTCAAATGGGCTTTCTTTTCCTTCCCCAATGTCTTGAATGATTTTTACCAACTCTGGGTCCTCCTTCTGCTTCTCACGAATTTTGTCGTGCAACAAAGGTCGAATGTTCAATCGAGCTAGTAACCCTGTTACACCATCCACTTCCAAATCAACATTCATTGCCCTCAAATCAACCAGATCATTTATATTCTTCTTCCCCTTTCTGCTCAGAGCATCAGCAACTACATTAGCTTTACCTGGATGGTAATCAATGGTACAATCATAATCTTTTAACAACTCTATCCATCTCCTCTGGCGACTATTTAAATCCTTCTGATCCATAATATACTTCAAGCTTTTGTGATCAGTTAGAATTTTAAAAGTCTCACCATACAAATAATGTCGCCAAATCTTGAGAGCAAATACCACCGCTGCCAATTCTAAGTCATGAGTGGGATAATTTACTTCATGAGGACGCAATTGCCTAGAGGCATATGCGATAACTCTTCCATCTTGCATTAACACACAGCCCAATCCTTGATACGAGGCATCACTATACACCACAAACTCTCCCTGACTTGAAGGTAGTGCAAGTACTGGTGCTGTGGTCAATCTCTTTTTCAGTTCATCAAAACTCTTTTGACATGATTCATCCCAAACATACTTAGTATTCTTCCTCAACAGTTTAGTCAATGGTGCAGCAATTTTAGAAAATCCTTCTACGAACCGCCGATAATAACCAGCCATGCCAAGAAAACTTCTCAACTCCGACACATCTTTTGGTGGAGTCCAACTCACCACTGCTTCCACCTTTTTCGGATCCACCTCGACACCTCTTCCAGAAATTACATGTCCCAGAAATATTACCTCCTTCAGCCAAAACTCACATTTTGAGAATTTTGCATATAATTGTTTCTCCCTTAGAATTTGCAACACAATTCTAAGGTGAGCTTTGTGCTCCTCCTCGCTTTTAGAATAGATGAGAATATCATCTATGAACACAATCACAAACTTATCAAGATATTCATGGAAAACTCTGTTCATAAGAGCCATAAATACCGCTGGTGCATTAGTGAGTCCAAAAGGCATTACCAGGAACTCATAATGCCCATATCTTGTTCTAAAAGCTGTTTTTGAGGTTGCTCCATCTGCCACTTTCAATTGATGGTATCCAGATCTCAAATCAATCTTAGAAAAGACTGATGCACCCTGCAATTGATCAAACAAATCATCTATTCTTGGAAGGGGATAACGATTCTTCACTGTCGCCTTATTCAACCTCCGGTAGTCAATGCACATTCTCATGGAACCATCTTTCTTCTTGACAAACAAAACCGGTGCACCCCAAGGTGAGATGCTAGGTCGAATAAACCCCTTGTCTAACAATTCTTGCAATTGTTCTTTAAGCTCCTTCAGCTCAATTGGTGCCATTCTATATGGTGCCATTGAAATTGGTGTTGTGCCAGGTACCAATTCAATATCAAACTCTACTTCCCTTTCTGGTGGAAGGCCGGGAAGTTCTTCGGGGAATACATCAGGAAATTCCCTTACCACCTCTACATCCTCAACCTTCTTATCATTTACTATAGTAACTTGAGCAAGAAAGGCTTCACAACCTTCCTTCACTAATCGAAAAGCTTCCAAGGCAGAAAGAAAACCATGAGTCTCCTTTTTCTTAATGCCTCGGAATACAACAGGACCTTTATCTGGTGTGCTGAATAACACTTCTTTCTTTTGACAATCCACAACAGCTCCATGTGTTGCCAGAAAGTCCATTCCAAGGATGACATCGAATTCATCAAAAGGTAGCAGAATTAAATCTGCTGCTAGGAAAGCTCCTTCCACACAAATGAAGGAACTTCTAATAACTGAGTCTACCTTCAAGGTATCTCCCACAGGTGTTTTAACACATAAGGTATAGCCTAGCTTATCTGGAACTAAATGTAGCATATGTGCAAACGTATATGACATGAATGAGTGAGAGGAACCAGTATCGATCAAAGCATATAATTGCTTGCCAAGGATAGAAAGCATACCAGTCACAACTTCTGGTGCCACTTCTGCCTCACCTCGAGTCATTGCATAAACCCTCGGTGCTCCCTGTGCTCTGGTACCCTGCGTACCACTTCCTGATGGCTGATTTCGACCACCACCTCTACCACCCTGTGAACCACCACGACCACTCTGAAATCCACTACAGCCTCCCTGGTAACCACCCCTGAATGGGGCTCTACTCATTTGCACTGAAGGCTCGGACTGTGTAGCTCTTACTTCTCTCGCATGCGGGCAATCCCTCATGATGTGCCCAGGTTGGCCACAGTGAAAGCATACACCAGAAAATCTCCTACACTCTCCAATATGCCTCTTCTGACAAACTTGACAAAATGGAAATTGTGTGGCTGAGGATATTGGTGCCCTGTATGATGTTCCCGACATAGATTGACTTGGTGTTCTCCCAAAACTGCTAGGACCTCTCCTGGGTGGGTAACGAGGTCCAGCATAATTTACTCCAAACTTCCTCTTCTTCTCCTCTTCTTTGGCCTTGTGTTCCTCTCGGCTCTCAACTTCATAGGCTTCATACTTAAGTGCTGCCTCCTTGATTGTGGCCATGCTCTCTTCATCAACCCTGTGGATCTTTTCTTTCAATCCTATGCGCAGACCATGCAAGTATCTCATCTTCTTCTTATGCTCAGTATCCGCCAACCCATCCTCAAAGTAAAGCAGTCGAACAAACTTGATGGTGTACTCAGTAACTGTCATATTCTCCTGCTTAAGGTTGGAAAATTCATTGTTCTTTGCCCTGATAAAAGCTTCGGGAAGAAACTCTGTCTTAAAGGCCTTCAGAAACTCCTCCCAGGTGAACTGAACTCGTTCACCATTAACTCTAGAGACTGAGGACCACCAGCTCCTCGCATACCCCTTTAGGAGAAAAACAACATATTGCACTTTTTCCTCTGGGGTTGCATAAAGATATTCAAACACATCTTCCATCTCTCTCAACCACTCTACTACAGCATCTGGGCTCACATCTCCCTTAAAGTCCCTACCACCCAAACTCTTCATCTTTGCATAATATAATACTGGCGGTCTTGCATCAACCGCCCCCACTCCTCTCGACTGGTCAGTAGGAACATTTTCACAACTTCCGTGCGAGCTACAAGGAAATATTGGCCTTAGATTGATCCACACAAAATTCATTCTTCACCAAATCTCTCACTTGGTTAAAACAAAAATTTTCCCAAAATAATTACTCGAAACAAATAAGTTCAAAACTCAATTTTTGAAAACCATGATGCAGGTAATTTCATCCAATATACCAATACACATAATCATATCAAATTCAATTCCCAGTTTAAGTCATTATGGGGTACTCCCCTCCTTAGGAGTGTTTAGCCTCCCATAGGGTATAGTACGCCATAACAGCAAAAAGAGGGAACCGGGCTCTGATACCAAACTGTAACACCCTATCCTATACGTATTACCTAATCATATTGTTCATACAATTGCAGCGGAATTAATCTCGGGTGTTACATTAATTATCAAAATTTATCTAAATAAAATTTCGACATGAATTACTCGCGTAATGGGCTAACAGTTCTTGCAACTTGTCCTGCAAAATAATTTATCACAAACATATATACTCACAACCATAAGCATTGGCTTTCCATAGCCATAGTCACAGTTTTCATACTTCCTAACTGCATACCATACTTATACATACCATAATCGTCACAACTTACACAGTTACACAACATATACACATATCATCAACTTTCCACACCTGTGGATATCTCACACTACATCAGAAGCTAGTATGCACATGAAAAACGTTCTCAAAACATTTTTACAAAAAGGTGTGGATCACTGGCCAAAATCCCGAGTAGTAGTCCAAGCACAGAATAGTTGAAGACCATACCTCATCCTGGCTTCAACTCTAGCTCCTCTCCCACCTAACACTTATCTACTGCTGCTGCTGATGATCTGCTTACACATAGCATAAGCAGAGAAGAAGAACAAAAGAGGGTCAGCTCATAGCTGAGTGAGATAATCATAGCATCGTGAGTTCATAACAGAGCATACCCCTACCATACATCTAGCAAACGAGCCAAAACACTAGGATCGGACCTCAGCCATCCTCATATCCCAATAAGCAAAAGACTCAACCACTTTGACTTATGCATATGCATCTTATCATGTTTTAATCATAGGCGCCTGGCTACTCCCATGCTAATAACTCTCCCGGGAAACATACCCCACATCCCGTCGGATGTAGTCATACATACCCCAACATCCCGTCGGATGTGGTCATACATACCCCACACCACTATGGGTGTAGTCATACCCCGACACCACTCTGGGTGTGGTCATATCTCGTAAGAATTCTTCAGTCACCACCACATGAGAGGTGTGACTATCATATCATAATAGAGTAATAGCATAGGGAGCCCTAATTACTATGTAGTTGACCGTGAGACCACAACACTCATATTTGGTATCCTTATACATGATTCATATCTCATCTTGCTTAATCATAATTCATTACTTGCACATGTACTTGACCTGGCCATAATTGGCTCAACATAGGTAAACCAGGAGTCGTATAGTTGCACTTCCTCGGGATAAACCCTCGTGCAAGTCATCCTCCTTAAAACATCATGATATCACCAGGGAATATATATTTTCCCACTTATGCATCCAAATACAACAATCATGAAAAATCATATCCAATCACCTTCTCGAACCAACATAAGGCATATTCACAATTAAACCCACATCTGGCAACATATATGGAATTATCAACATAAACAAGGTCCATATCGATTAAGGCAAGTCAATAATATCATACAGAAGCCTATAGTTCATCATATAGCAGAGAAGTCCATACACCCATAATCATGCCATTCTAATTCACCTAGGTCAATTCTAAGCATCAATATAATTATCGTGATACGACAAACCCGGTATGCCGTGCTAATCCCTCACCAGTTCTGGTCGTTCAAACACCGGTTTAACCTTCCCGTACTAAAACGTCAATTTCAGGAACGAACCCCGAATTAAAATCCGAGACCGTCCTAATATCCCCTGCAGTATCCCCGTCAATATTAGTTCTAGGCTCCGGGTCAAATTCTCGATAAAAGCACATCAAACCCTGGCCGGAGCTAAATTCAGCGGTTTGGACCCTGGCCTAAATAATAGCCGAAAATCAGGAATTAGAACTAGGGGATTGATTACCTCGCTGCAAGAAGCTCGTATATGAAATTTGGGCTCAATCCGGCTTCCGGATACTCCGAAACCCTAATTTGGCAGATCGGGAAATCAAGAAATTCCTGAACCAAAAACTCGTTTTAAAGCTCTAAATCGATAAATCACGATGTATGGATGAATTAGGCATTACTTACGGGATTTTTTGGATCACTAGGGCTCAAGATTGGAGCTTTGGAAATTCTACCCGAGCTCCCCTGTACGCTCTCTGTTCCTCTGCTTCTCTCGCGGATGGAAATGAGAAAAAATGATGTTGATGATGATAATTAATGGACGGGGGAGAAACTTTATATAAGTGACCGCTTAATTGTAATATTATATATATATATATATATTATAATTAATACGTATACCTATCCGATCGATCGATAATCCGATTTTCGCCGAAATAGTGTCGAAATGCTCGATTTTAAATCGCGAACTTTCTAGCGATCGAAATATGGGTTTTGCCGGAACGGGATGTTACAAAACATGTCAACTGGATGCCTTGGAATCTTCTATAGGGTATTCTCGTCCGCATCAATATACCCTACCAATACAGCCAGAAACCGTTGATAACTTATATCAAGGTCTACTGTTCTTAAGGTGTCTCATGACCCCTTTCAACAGCATTTCAATGCTTCATACTAGGACAACCAGTAAGCCTGCCAAGTACCCCCACTAAATCGGGTCTCATGTTTATCAGCTGCCTCTAGCAGACTGTAAATGCTAGTATATTCTAACTTTCTTACACCGTCTTAGGTGTTCTTTAAATATTTATACTAGCATCATCAAACATGTATGCATGTGTACATCTTGTATTTTCCTAGTTATTAGGATCTCTAAGCATAACATTTGTTTCATTCAGATCCTTCACATTCAAAATTCTCAACTATCAAGGTTTTTCAATATTGACATCATGAGTTTTTGTACCAAAGATCGACGTGTCATTCATAATGCAAGTGTCATTCTCAAATTTTTACTAAATGCACTTGTCACTTTCACTTTTAAAACCATGACAGAGAATCTGATTAATCATGCCACGAATTCTGAGTCTATCATATAATGATTTGTCTAACCATAGACTCCAGAAGCATGTTCTAGAATAACAACTTCTTAGGTTGTCTCATGTAGATTTCTTTATCTAAGCCACCATTCACAAAAGAAGTTTAACATCCATATGATGGTTTTTATTCTACATATTGGTGAATAGATATCAAAGAAATCTACAATTTTCCTCTTCACCTAGAGCCTTAGCTACCAGGCGATCATTATACTTATAAACTAAACCATCAGGTTTTAGTCTTTTCTTTTATGAATCCATTTATTACCTTGGCTCCACTACCATGAGGTAATTCTCAAAGATGCCAAATCTTTTTGATTTCATCGATATATTACCTAAGGCTTTAAAACCAAAAGGTAACTCTACAAGTTTCTAAGTCTTAGTAGGCTCTCATGATTTCATTTTATTAATAATGGCTTCTTCCCATCTGCACCTTTAGAGAAGTTTGAACTTCTAGCAGACTTGTAGGATCTTTCTTAGGGTGTAATTAACGAACTCATAACCAAAATCCTTTATCGACTTATGGTTCATTTCCTTCTTCTGAGTTCATACACAGATTCACCACCCCCACTAGTTCCATTATTTCTAATAGTAGGCAGGACACTACCCCCACGATTTCTTGAATTAAAGTGGAAGTTTATTGGCATCAATGGATTTCACAACAACGTGAGTATTTCGTTTCATAGGAACTATGTGTTTTTATTGTTGACAACATAAAACACACTCATATTCTCTTCTAGTTTTCACTACACTGGTTTGTTAACTCTACCACAAGCATGCGATATATTGAATAATCAGTGCAATCAGTAACAATGCAATTAAGCATTTCTCAAGCTATTTCGAATTAGCATCTCAATAACTAGACAAAACACTTTATAGAGTAATAAATAATATATTGTCTTTACACCTTGTTTACCAATATCAAAATAAATCATATCTATCGATTCTGATTTTCTAACCACATATTTATGGGTCATTTAGCTTGGATATACAAAATTCATATTTTTCTGAAGCATCCAATAATAATATGGGAATGTGATATAAGATATTCTAATTCTTCACACAGACACACTTGGAAGAATTTATCTTATCTGTTTAACCATTCCTTACGTCTAGGATAGTCAATTACTTTCTAGAGGTAGGGTTCTCTTCCACTTTTCCAGAACCATCAACAATAGTGGTGAGGGTCTTGCCCAACAACACTTTCTCCTCCAATACGCCTCAATGCATGATTGAGCTTAGCTACTTTATCAGATGCATGCCTTGAGGCGTCAATATCCAACCACCATTCTTTAGAATTGCCATTAAGGCCTATCACCCCATTAGTGATTGTTACCACCAAATTTGTTCTTACCCTTTAGTGTCTTATGACCTAGTTTCTCACAAATTTAACAGAGAAACATAGCGTCATTCTTAGAGGATTGGGTGGCAATCTTATGGTTACCACAAAGGGTACCATTCTATTTGGTAAGGATCTGGTTCAGCTTGCTGCTTTCATTCTTCAAACTTTAATGTTTCAGAGCAGCCTAAGTGGTCCGTGTAGTACTAATAATAGTACTTCTTACAAAATCGTTATTATGGGCAATAAACCCATTCTATTCCCATAAATTCTCCAATGCACACATTTAGACAAAATCATTCTTTCCATAGCATGTATTCAATTTATGCTCTAATCATCGAGATACGTAATATATCTTAATGTCAACTTATCATGCATCAATTCAAGTTTTCTAGCATTCATAACCTTTCTCAATTCCATGCACAAAGTCATACAGAACTAATAATTTATTAATGACTCGGGAAAAAGTTACAGTAGTTACCTCTCAAGAAGTCCTGGCCTTTTAATTTGCAACGAATAGCTAGCGTGTGGCTTAGCTTCCAATTAAATAACCTTTTGTTCGAGTATGACTTCCCACTTTCGATGCACTAGAACATCAGTAATCACCATATATTAGCTTGATTTCCCTAAGTGGACCTTTATCTTGTCCACTGACCTATAAAGTTCAATCCGCCCAAGCCTTGGGCCTGAATGATTCCATAATGGACGCAAAATTTAAATGGACCATGATTTTTTTCATTTACTTCGCCCATGCAGAAAAGAGGAATAAGGGTATTCGTGGGGAGTCCTACAATCGGTCCAATGAATGGTGACACCCGGATTGAGTTTGGCGAGCACAGGGATCTCGTACTGGTAAGCTTTCTCCCAATCAGGATTGTGGTGATATCCCTCACCTGGAGGTTGATGTCATGAAGGGTTGGAGGGTTGGAGAAGGAGAAAGCAGCTTGGAGCTTCTATTTGAGGCCATCGCACAAACAGCAACCAGGCTTTGAATAAAGGACTAGGCTTCTCGTGTTTGGCGGTGGAAGAGACGAGGACAGAGAACCCAGAGGAGAGAACACCCGCCGCCTGGTCGTGGTGGATTGTATGTTGAGGAAAAGTAGTGAAGATGGCCTCGCGGCCGCCAATGCTGCTGCCATCGTCGCAACCGCTAGAATGGTAAGAGCTCGAAAAAGTCTCGACTGGTTCCGCCATTGACGAGCTAAAGATTTACGTGCACAGTCCCGCCTATCTGAAACAAAAGAAATTGGACGTCTTCCTTCTCCGACCGGTTGGTTGACGGAGATCGACGAAAAACACAGGTGTCTCTGCGATTTCTCTTTCTCTTTCCTAACGGCGATAAGATCCGGGGCAAAGAAATAGTCCCGATCGATCCTTTGAGCGGCATAGTGACGGTAATGAGACAAGCCATAATCGGTGTCCTGTTCGGTAAATACGACAACAACCGAGCGTCTTAAAATTGTTAGAAACCGAACAAGAAAAATTAGGGTTACCGAATCTGGCTGAGTCGTGGACTAGGTCGCTCTCTTTAAGACGTTCGCGGCACTGCTTCGTAATGCGCACATCAGATATCAACCGGTCGCCTCCAGGATAAAAAAACCATTCTAATTTTATCACTCATCGATTTTGTGCGAAAACCGAAGCTCTATGAATTCACTCTCTCTCGTGTTTCTGCTCTTCTGAGGTGTGTTTAGAGGGTCTGGGGGTTTCCTATTTATAGCAGCAGAAAACCCAGAATATTCCCTCTTTCTTTGGGAATAAGTCACATTTTAATTAGGGAGATAATTACTCCCATAACTAAATTATAATCTATAATATTCCTTTTATTAATTATCCATCTTATATTTGTATTATAGAAAAATACTGGATAATTAATTAAGAATTTCATTTATAGCTTTTCAAAGTTATTCATCCCAACAATTGCTATATGTCATTTGATCCTACCAAAAAAAAGTATATGTCATTTGCATAGGTACAGCAGAAGAAAAGTAGAGAGCAATAGTATGCACAATCAATAAACAGTTTCAGCCTTTTTTCAACCAAGTTAGTATTTGTGTTTTGTTTGACATGATTGTTATCGATCGAGGTTATATAGTTATTCCTTATGTATACTTTTTTTCTAGAGTATTCTTTATTTATACTTATTATCTGCAATATATATTCTCCCTATGTTGGAAGCTTATCTATAAAATTTATGATGGAGATCCATCACTCCAAATTGCAGCATTTCAAAAATGATGCATCCTGAGAGCTTCACGGAAGGCTATTTAAGTCTTTCCCACCCCTGCATGTTTAAAGAAGTGATGTGTTTCGTGTTTTTTAGGTTGAGGACTGATTCCATTGGTGGAGATCAACGGAGCATGGAGTAACTAAATTGGGCCTGAAATGGGCCAACAAGACAGCAGACTTACGGTCGATACTGGGCCCATCCTCCACGAACAACACAGGCTTACTCTGCCCATAGCCCATACCAATCCCCCTCTGCCGTTCACCACCTCCTCGAAAATAGACTATCTCTGCCGTCGAACCCTGGATTAATTCCACAAATATTGTTTTTTTTAATTACCATCAATATGGCGATTTAAAAACTATTGACACTTATATTGTGTTTTTTTGTAGGTTAACAGCGATCACGCCCTAGACTCAGGCATGACCGCTAGTTATTGATTTTTCAATAAAAGCCAGCGGCGACGCCCGAGACTGGGGCTTTGATGCTTGTTATAAGGCCTCAGCGGCGGCGCCTGAGACTGAGGAGTGGTCACTGCCTCCCTCTTCCCCTCCAGCACCATCTATACTCCACCTTTCCTTCGGTTCTTCACCACCAAAAAAATCAATGAAGTTACAAGAGAAGCTCTGGTGTTGCCGTCTGGTTGCTGGGAAGATGGGTAATAATAGGTAAGAGACGTATTTACCTTTTTAATGTACTCTTCAAATGCTATAATAATTTTGTTCTGTTAGTAATTAGCGAGTTTGTTTTTTATGTAGTGGTTTTAGAAGATTTGAACTAGTTGTTCGGTAGAAATCAGAGAAAGTAGAGGACAATTTGGGCGTTCACTTCGTTGTTGATAGAAGTTTTCAGTTGAGTGTTCCATCTAGGTTGAACTATCAGAAACTTTGTGATAATCTAATTCGGAGAATTAGGCGTAAAGACGAAGCATTACAAGATAGTGTTGCGATTACAGGTTTCACTTACTGTCTTCTAGAATGGCAGAATGGTGTTTTAATTCATTATGCGATGCTTATTGTGGATGATGATAGCTTGAATGTTCTTTGGAATTTTACGGCACAAAACCCTTATTGTTTGGGTGCTGACTCACTTCTACTGTCACTCCAGGAATTGGCCAAGTGAAACCACTTCCTAAAGCGTAGTATAGCGGGTTTGGGTTTAATTGTCAACCCGGGTCCTAGATTTGATTACTACTCGGTGAACTCTTGTTATCTAGCAATGAAACTTTAATGCAAGTCTAAACTAACAAACTAACAAAGCAAGTAAACAGTTGTATTTAGGTTAAGAGAGGTCACCCGGATATGGTTCCCCCTAGACTGCAGTTAAGCCGGATTGTAATTACCAAGTTCAGTTTCTATGATAGTTATACTGCGGAAGGTTCTTAAACAGCCTGAAGTCTCGACTAAAGGTCTTCAGACCCTCTCAATCTGAGTCTCTAGCGGGCGACTAACCTCCACCGGAGTAAACAGATTGAGGCCCTATGAACAAAACCTCCACTACCGGAGTGAATCCGGTACAGAATAGTGAGTTGGCTCCTCGACTAATGTCACCAACTCCCTACCTTCAATCAAGGATGCTCTATCAACCTAGGCAGATATTCTCATTCTAGGTTAAAGCAGAAACAACAGGAATTTGATCAGGATTCAAGTCATTCAATCATTCAAACCTCAATCGAATATAATCAAATCATAGAATCAGTACTTGGGTTCATACAATCAAAGCCTAACATACAAATCTAGGGTTCTCCATACCCAGATGAATGGGAGAACTACTCCATGGAGAAAGAAGCAAAAGCAGAATCAGACGCGGAATTCATACTGTGAAGGATGGATTCCTGCTCCTAGACGTTGATCGACACTTCTCCAAGCTCAAACTGGCCTCCAATGGTGATGAAGATCAAGCTAGGGCACTTGGAGACTCTTGTTCGTCGCTTTCTCTCTCTAGGAATTGCTCTATCTCTCTCCAAACTCCAATCCCCTTCTCTTTGGATGAAAATCTGCTTAAAAGGGTATCAGTGGCCAAAGCACGGGCGAGGGCACGGCCGTGTAATGCCTCAGCCCGCCCGTGCTTTGGCTAGGGTTAATTACACGGCCATTGTGTTGGGAGAAACACGCCCGTGCTTTTGGGTGGACACGGCCGTGCTTTGGTGAAACAAGGCCGTGTAATTTCTCAGCCCTGCCCGTGTAATCAGCTCATGTTCGCCAAACTCGAATTAGCTCTCGGCAGTAAAAGCACGGCCACAGAACACGGCTGTGTTCTGTTTTAGGTGTGCCCGTGTTTTAGCTCCAGCTCGACGAAATTAATTCCGAATGCCCCGAAACTCGTGCTTAGCCTTCCCTTTGACACCTGGGACCTGAAATATGACAAAATAGCACAACCCGGCGTAAAATAGGCCAAAATACACGACTATGCCTCTCAAACGGATAAGAATTAGGGGCGCAAATACGTGCAATTACATCGTTATCAAATTCCCACACACTTAACCGTTTGCTTGTCCCTAAGCAAACCTAACTCAAACCAATGCAACTCTCCAGACCTCTATAGCAACAAACAACCCAGATCGTAGGTAGAGGACTTCCTAGATCATTTAGCAACTTACGAGGTCAACCGACGCACAAGTCATCTCATAGCTTCTTCGGCGAGAGCACTAGTATCAAGTCGGCATCATGGCAAATAGTTAACAGAGGACAAATGAATTGTGGATGAAGAGATTCTCACAAACAAAGGATCATGGACTCACATTTTTCAAGGTGCTCTATTTTCTTATTGGAGATGGTTGGAACCCCTTTTCTTTCTGTTTTGCTTGTTTTCTGTTATTTTTTTCTTCTCTTTTTTTTTCAAGGGTCCCAACCTGCTCTTACCGGCCATGCCAGGAGTGGATGTCTCGAGCCTCGTGCGGGGAAAGACATGTAAGGGGGCTGGAGGTAGTAGGTGGAAATTGGGAACGGATTCCCGTCTCCCCTTACACACTTTCGCCCTATTCGCACAGGAGACGTTATTTTGAAGCACATCTTTGAGCACCTGTTAAACTCAAAACATGAAACAAGAGTCCATGACAGGTAGAGAGTCCACAACACCACACAATTCAAGGGTCCTAAGATCACTAATTCACTCAATCAACCAACACAATATGAAGAAGAAATGAGATTTCTTAAATGCATCAACATCCTCCATAGTGCTACACTACCTCCCTAGGTTGCATATTACTATAAAGACTGTCAATTCAAAGCATACTGAGCAGGCAATTGCACGGAAACACGTACTTGGAGCCCTCAAATTTAAAAATTTGGACAGTGGACTAGGCTCCAAGCACACAAACAGATCTAATGCAGTCAAAAGATAAACATCCCCCCACACTTAAGATCGACATTGCCCTCAATGGAGAAGAGGGAAGGGAAAGGGGAACGATGTTACCGGCATGCACGGACTGCAGGAGACTGGAAGCGGACCAGTCGAGTGAAGCGGACTGGAGAGAGGACCAGTCAAGACAAGCACAGCCAAAGGAAACCAAAGAGCTCAAACATAATATGTTAGGTTCAATGGTCAGCCCAATAATACATCATCCAAAACAAAAGAAAACAAACCAAAACCAAACTGGTTTACAATCCGACTCAAAACACAAGAAAGAGAGTCAAACCGTGGTGGGGTTGCCTCCCCACAAGCGCTTCTTTACCGTCTTTTAGCTGGACGCCCATGGTGGATACTCAGGGAGGTGCAGGAACAGGTGCCTCCAAGAGCGGATCCACGTCGCTCTTGAGGTACAGCTTCAGGTTGTGGCCTTGCACCCGACGGATGCGACCACCATCATCTGTCAGCTCGACCTGGCCATCCGGTAAGATGCAGGCGAGTGAGTACCCGGACGGCCAGGGTGGTCGTGGTGCAGGAGGTGGGACCAGCTCATAGTGGTCTCCACCCTTCTTCCGTGCAGGCTTAGCAACCTGCTGCTTCGGCCGCCACTCCTCCTTGATCTTTTTGTTCGGAGGCGAGGCTGGATGGAGTGGCGGCGAAGGAATGATAGGAGGGTCCTGCAAAATGAGAGGTGCAGAAGGATACACGACAGGCTCGTGTACCTGATCAGAAAGGGCATGCATAGGTGTGACAGCAATCATAGCACAGTGATCAAATTCAGTCACAGAAAAAGTAGCATGTTCATTCCCAGCACGCAAGATCAGTTTACCATCATGAACATCAATAAGTGCCTTGGCGGTGGCAAGAAATGGTCTACCCAGAATCAAAGGCACATCCAAATCCTCATGTATATCAAGAATAACAAAATCAACAGGATATGTGAATGCACCGACACTGACAAGTAGATCCTCTATGATTCCCCTAGGATGCACAATGGAACGATCAGCTAGCTGAATGCTCATCCTATTAGGGCTAAGTTCACATAGGTCTAGCTTTTTATACAACTTATATGGCATGACATTTATGCTAGCACCTAGGTCCGCCAAGGACTT